CACCAGATGCCACTCACCAAAGTAGGATGCAGAACATTTTCTTAATAAGCTTTGTTATGCCAATTGACCTAGATGTCCCCTGAAAGCATGGTCCTCAGACCCCTACCCCTGCTAGTCTGTCCCTCAAAGTGTTTGATTGATTCAGGAAACTTCTTAGCTTTGGTTTAGTCCAGTTGTACTGACTTCCCCTGTAGTGTGTGCTGTCCTTCCCTTCACCTAAGAGATTTCTAATTTTTCTTTATTCCTAGGGTGCAGTCCCCCACATGTCTGTCAGTTTGTTTTACTGTGGGGGTTTGTGTGTTGCTGTGGTGCTGTAAGCTATGCCAGTGGTATTCAGATACCAGCAGGGCTGCCAATGGCAGACAGGTTTCAGTTGAGCTTCCAGACTAAGACAGGCTACAAAGAAGGGCCTGGCAGTCTACTTCTGAAAAGAATTAGCCAGGGAAAACCTGATGAATGGCAGCAGAACATTGTCTGATATAGTCCAGAAGATAAGCCCCCCAGGTTGGAAGGCACTAAAAGACAACTGGGGAAGTAGAGTTGACCTTAATGACGTGGATGGAGTGAAGCTTTCGGGATATTCATTTGCTGATGTGGCATGACTCAAAATGAGAAAAAAACACCTGCAAACATCCATCAATAATCGGAACATGGAATGTACAAAGTATGAATCTAGGAAAATTGGAAATGGTCAAAAATGAAATGGAATGCATAAACATCGATATCCTAGGCATTAGTGAGCTGAAATGGACTAGAACTGGCCATTCTGAATCAGATAATCATATGGTCAACTATGTCGGGAATGATAAAGAGGAATGGCATTGCAGTGATCATCAAAAAGAACATTTCAAGGTCTATCCTGAAGTACAACGCTGTCAGTGATAGGATAATATCCATACGCCTACAAGGAAGACCAGTTAATACGACTATTATTCAAATTTACGCACCAATCACTAAGGCCAAAGATGAAGAAATTGAAAATTTTTACCAGCTTCTGCAGTTTGAAATTGATTGACCATGCAATCAGGATGCATTGATAATTAGTGGTGATTTGGAATGTAAAAGTTGGAAACAAAGAAGAAGGATCGGTAGTTGGAAAATATGGCCTTGGTGACAGAAATGGTGCCAGAGATTGCATGACTGAATTTTGCAAGACCAATGACTTCTTCATTGCAAATACCTTTTTTCAGCAACATAAACGGCAACACGTGGACCAAGCCAGATGGCATACTCAAGAATCAAATCAACTACATCTGTGGAAAAAGACGATGGAAAAGCTCAATATCATCAGTCAGAACAAGGCCAGGGGCCGACTGCAGAACAGACCATCAATTGCTCATATGCAAGTTCAAGTTGAAACTGAAGAAAATTAGACCAAGTCCACGAGAGCCAAAGTATGGCCTTGAGTATATCCCACCTTAATTTAAAGAGTATCTCAAGAACAGATTTGACACATTGAACACTAATGACTGAAGATGAGACAAGTTGTGGGATGACATCAAGGACATCATACATGAAGAAAGCAAAAGGTCATTAAAAAGACAGGAAAGAAAGAAAAGACCAAAATGGATGTCAGAAGACACTCTGAAACTTGTTCTTGAACATCAAGTAGCTAAAGCAAAAGGAAGAAATGATGAAGTAAAAGAGCTGAACAGAAGGTTTCAAAGGGTGCCTCGAGAAGACAAAGCAAAGTATTATAATGACATGTGCAAAGACCTGGAGATAGAAAACCAAAAGGGAAGAACACGCTCAGCATTTCTCAAGCTGAAAGAAGTGAAGAAAAAATTCAAACCTCAAGTTGCAATAGTGAAGGATTCTCTGGGGAAAATATTAAACGATGCCAAAAGCACCAAAAGAAGACGGAAGGAATACACAGAGTCATTATACCAAAAAGAATTGGTCGAAGTTCAACCATTTCAAGAGGTAGCATATGATCAGGAACCAATGGTACTGAAGGAAGAAGTCCAAGCTGCACTGAAGGCATTGGTGAAAGACAAGGCTCTAAGAGTTGTCAGAATATTAACTGAGATGTTTCAACAAACGGATGCAGTGCTCGAAGTGCTCACTCATCTATGCCAAGAAATTTGGCAGACAGCTACCTGGCCAACTGACTGGAAGTGATCCATATTTATGCCTGCCTATTCCCAAGAAAGGTGATCCAACCGAATGTGGAAATTATCAAACAATATTATTAATATCATGTGCAAGTAAAATTTTGCTGAAGATCATTCAAAAGCAGCTGTAGCAGTATATCGACAAGAAACTTCCAGAAATTCAGGCCGGATTCAGAAGAGGACGTGAAACTGGGGATATCATTGCTGATGTCAGATACATCCTGGCTGAAAGCAGAGAATACCATAAAGATGTTTACCTGTGTTTTATTGACTATGCAAAGGCATTCAACTGTGTGGATCATAACAAATTATGGATAACATTGCGAAGAATGGGAATTCCAGAACACTTCATTGTGCTCATGAGGAACCTGTACATAGATCAAGAGGCAGTCGTTTGAACAGAACAAGGGGATACTGCATGGTTTAAAGTCAGGAAAGGTGTGTGTCAGGGTTGTGTCCTTTCACCATACCTATTCAATCTGTATGCTGAGCAAATAATCTGAGAAATTGGACTATATGAATAAGAACTCAGCATTAGGATTGGAGGAAGACTCATTAACAACCTGCATTTTGCAGATGACACAACTTTGCTTGCTGAAAATAAAGAGAACTTGAAGCACTTACTGATAAAGATCAAAGACCACAGCCTTCAGTATGGATTACAACTCAACACAAAGAAAACAAAAATCCTCATAACTGGACCAATAAGCAACATCATGATAAATGGAGAAAAGATTGAAGTTGTCAAGGATTTCATTTTACTTGGATCCACAGTCAACACCCATGGAAGCATCAGTCAAGAAATTAAACAATGTATTACATTGGGAAAATCTGCTGCAAAAGACCTCTTTAAAGTGTTAAAAAGCAAAGATGTCATCTTGAAGACTAAGGTGCACCTGACCCAAGTCATGATGTTTTCAATTGCCTCGTATGCATGTGAAAACTGAATGATAAATAAGGAAGACTGAAGAAGAATTGATGCCTTTGAATTGTAGTGTTCGCAAAGAATATTGAATATACCATGGACTGCCAAATCTGTCTTGGAAGAAGTACAACCAGAATGCTTCTTAGAAGCAAGGATGGCAAGACTGCATCTCACATACATTGGACATGTTGTCAGGAGGGATCAGTCCCTGGAGAAGGACATCATGCTTGGTAAAGTAGAGGGTCAGTGAAAAAGAGGAAGACCCTCAACAAGATGGATTGACACAGAGGCTGCAACAGTGGGCTCAAGCATAACAACGATTGTGAGCATGGCACTGGATCAGGCAGTGTTTCTTTCTGTAGTACAGAGGGTTGCTATGAGTCAGAACTGACGCTATGGCACCAAACAACAACAGGGTGCAGTACTTCAGAGTTTACCAAGTTACCCCCACCGTGGCAGGCCTTCAATGCCAATATCTGTCCCTGTAGTTGGAGCCCTGGTGGTGCAGTTGTTAACAGCTTGGCTGCTAACCAAAAAGTTGGCAGTTCGAATCCACCAGCCACTCCTTGGAAACCCTATGGAGCAATTCTGCTCTTTCCAGTAGGGTCACTATGAATTGGAATCGACTTGATGACAATGGGTTTGTTTTTGTTTGTTTGTTTGTTTTTTTAGTCCCATGAAGCTACCAAAACCACTACTCATTCTATCAGTCACTGGACCCTCTAGAATCAGCAAATACTCTTTTGGTACCCTCAAACTCTGGTCTCACCTCCTTGTACCTTTGTCTTCCTCTAGATCTTGTACTGCTGATTCTTAGGAGCTTGCTAGTTCTTCAATGGCTTTCGGCAGATTTTAAAATAATTTGTCCATATTTTCTAGCTGCACTCAAGGGGAGTATTAGTCTGATTTACCTAGTTCACTACTACTGAAAGCTTGAGTCATCATCTTTTCTAAAGTTACAAAATAACTATAATTTCATCACCAACAATATTCCTGGTTTGAAGATAATGAATATTTTAGAATGCTATAATTAACCAAATTTTAAAACAATTCCTCTCTGTGCCATAAAAACAAATATACAGAAAAATCTTTGGGCTTAGATTGCACAGCACAATTATTAAAGTCAATACACTATGAACCCTAGCCATAACCTAAGAAGATTACATTCATTTGTACAGTACATTTTTACTTTTCAGAATATTTCCACCATCTACTATCTAGAAGTTTTTCCTAAGAACTCCTCTGTGAAGTAGGTAAAACATTATAATTTTTATTTTAAAGATAGATAAACTGAAGTTAAACCCATTCATTTATCCACTCAAAAAACAATGTAAGAATTTCCTCTTAAGCTCCAACACATATGACTTTTGCAATCTCACCTGATTTTCCACTCTGGCAGTCTGTACCAGATTCTGATTCAGATGTTGAAACATATTTCAGTATTTGATGTCCACAGCTTATAGAATAAAACAGATAAATAAATATGATAAATGAGGAAAATTTCTTACCTAAACATAATTAGAAAATGTTCTTAATATTTAACCAAGATCCCAGCTAGAACAAATCCTAATATTCCAATCTCTCTATAAATTTAATAGGCTTTATTCTAGAAAGTATTTAGGTATCCCTCAAGGAAGTAACATATTTTTGAAAGTCAAAATTAAGGTCTAGGGTAATTACTACAGAAGCAGAAATGAGACTGAACATCATGTGAATCAGGTACTTTCGAGTAGACACTAAAGTAGCATGTACTAAAAGAATTCTCTGAATTTGCTGATATCTCTTTATGGGTAGACTACCACTATATTTCACCTCTGATGGAGAACGTTTAATTAGAAGATGAATAATAGCACCTAAATGAGAAAAAGCTAATTTAGAATAAAAACTCCTAGATAAAGAAGAAGCTATAATCTTAATCCATCATCTAGTTGTAATATAGAACTAGAAAACTAGTAATACTTTATTAAAATAACCTACATTTTAAAATAGAAATGATAAACATCTGGGAACTTACCTGTTACAAAGATTGCTATCAGAATTTCTAAGCTGCTGATAAGAATCTGGTGTATTGGGTACATTGCCCACAGATTTGTGTAAAATAACACTTGGCTTAGTAAGAAAATCAGCGGTATCAGGAAATTCTATAGATGACCGATTAGTTAGAGAACCAGCAGACACTGGTCCATGACTGGGAGAATTCACAGGAGTCACGCAGGATACAGCACCTTTAAAAATTAAAAAGGAGAAAATAGATAAATTAATTAATAAATGTATGTGTGCATGTACTTGTGTATTATATATGTTTGTATATTTATACAGACAATCTTCCATCTCTAAAGAAATCAAAGTATTTACAATTAAATGATAAAAATAAATTTCTACTTAGGACTACCTTGAGGACATCCAAGTAATTTAAGCAGAATATAGACCATATTTGTCATTATCAATGACTGTCAAGTAAACACCCTTTGGCAGGATGGTACATAATACATAACGATTTAAGAGTATGACTAAAATGTACATGCCATTTTAGTATTTTTATTTGGCACAAATTTTCCTAATCTATATTGGTCTTTATCTTTCACATTTTGTGTCCATACCATCTTGATTATCCACATGAGCAAAGCATCTTTACACCAGATTCTATTTCCAAGTGCTTAATAGCATTAAGCAAGTTGAGCGCATGATAAAATTATACACTAACACAATCAGCATATCTCTTTAGGAAATATATCCAAAATTTTTTTAGTTCATTCATTCATTCAACAAATATTTGAGAGCCTACTATGTGCTGGAAAATGTGCTGAGTTTCACAATGGAGAAAAACATAATATCCCTGCAACTCAATAAACATATAATCTAGTCCATTGCCCTAGAGTCAGACTTGCCACATCTTTCTCCCACAGGGTGGCTGGTGGGTTTGAACCACCAACATGAGTTAGTAGCCGAGCACTTTAACCACTGCACCACCAGGGCTCCTGTATAGTCTAGTGGAGGATACAAACATCTGTTAAGTGCTAAAACAAGGGAAAAACAGACTGCTTCAGGAACCCATAGGTCCTACTCCTGCTGATTTACTCTAGAAACCTTTGCTGAGTGACTTGAACTAAGGCAGTATGGGTATACCTAAGAGAGAGAGAGGCAGATTAAAAACTTTATTTAAAAATAAAGATCCAAGTAAAGTGTGAATCAGAGAGGAAAGCAAAGAAATCATTAAGGATCTACAATATTTTCAGGCATAGTTACAGACGTGTATTTTATTTAATCTTCACAATAGCCTTGTGAGTTTAAGCAGTGTCTTTATTTTACACGTGAAGAAAAAATCTCCAAAAATATTAAGTAACTTCATTTAATTCACACAGTTAACTCTGTGAGACCATACTCTTTCCAGGGCTGTCACTGCTGTTTAATCAGATTGATTTGTTTAGAGGCTTCTATAAATTCAAATAATGTTAGGGCTGAATGGAATTTTATAGATAATCTAATTTAATGTAGTGTTTCAGAAGAGGAAACTGAGGACTAGAGGGGAAATAACTGACTAAAGTCTCAGTTTGCAATTTTCTCTAATTATACTAGTAAGTGACCAAAATCCTGATAAACAGGGTGAGAGGAATAAAGGGTAAATTACATTAGGATGGAGCCCTGGTGGTGCAGTGTCTAAGAGCTGAGCTACTAACCAAAAGGTTGGCAGTCTGAATCCACTAACCACTCCCTGGAAATCCCATGGGGCAGTTCTACTCTGTCCTATAGGGCCGCTATGAGTTGGAATTGACTGGATGGCAATGGGTTTTGTTGTTGTTGTTGTTAATATTAGGATATACTCTCCATGATAGAAATTTAATATAACATAGAAAAGCTTTGAGGAGAGGACAAAATGAAATAGAAGAAAATCTAGCAACCCTAAGAAATACATTCTACAGTATAGCTCCATTACTTTTTTAAAAAATATTTTTACTGTGAAATATAATACACATACAGAAAAGTTACAACAGGAATGCCCATCGCCCAAGCTAAGACATAAAACATTGCCAGAGGTCAGAAGCCCTCATCTTCTTTCTCCCTCCCATTAATGAAATCATTATCTTGGATTTATGGTATTGTTTTCTTGTCTCTCTTTATAATTATGACACCCATGTATGCATCCCTTAACAATTTATATTACTTGCCTTTTTTGAACTTTATAAATTGAATCAGATAGCTTCTATGCCTTGATTTCTTTACTCAACGTTTTTAGAAGATATTTCCATGCTGTTGCCTGTGACTTCATTCATTCATTTTCACTGCTGTATGAAATTGTATAGAGCAGCTGGTTGATTCGAACTGCTGATCTTTTGGTTAGCAGCCAAGCTCTTAACCACTGCACCACCAGGGCTCCATAGCATGAACATAGCACAATTTTATTTCTCCATTCAAGTGTTAATAGACATATGGGATGTTTCCAGTTTTGGGGCAACAATATGGCTCTGAACATTCTTATACCTGTATTTTGGCATACACAGATGTGTATTTTATCAGGGTATATATTCTAGAGTGTAATTACTCATCTTTATAGTAATAAACTATTTTTCAAAGTCATTATAAAAATTTATATTCCCACCTGCACTGTATGACAGTTTCTGTTGCTACAAATTCTCACCAACACTTGGTATCTTTAGACTATCTTTTGCAAAGCTGATGGTGAACGGAAGAGCTTTGTGCTTTTGGTTTTTTATTTCCTGATTACTCATGAGGTTGAGCATCTTTTATATGTTTATAGGCCACTTACAGTCTTTTTTTTGTAAGTGAGCGTTAAGTCTTTTGCTCATTTTTCTATTAGGTTGTTGAAGTGAACAGATTCTAATGCAGTCCCCATTGATCCCTGCCTTCTGTTGTTCACACCTTTGTATAATTCTCTCCCCTTGAAAATGGACTTTTTTATTCTTTCATCACTAAATATGTATTCCATTGTCTTTGGCTTCCATGGTTGCTACTGAGAAGTCACTTTTGGTATTATTTTTACTGTTTGGAAAATAACTTTTCTACTTTTGTTTGTTTTTGAGATTTTTCTCTTTATCTTTAGTATTCAGAGCTTTTACAATGATGTACTTAGTTGTGATTTTCTTTATATTTTTCCAGCTTGGGGCTCACTGAGCTCCATGAATTTGTGTGTTGCTTTGCTTTCTTTTATTGGTTTTAGGAAGTTTTTTAGCCACTATCTCTTTAAATTTTGTTTCTGCCCCATTGTCTCTCCTCTCCTTTTAGGGACATGATTTACACATACATTAAAACTTTTGACTGTGTTCCATTTGTCCTGTTATTTATGCATTTCTTTCCCTTTTCATGCTTCAGTTTAGTTTTTTATATTTCTGTTTTCAATTTCACTAATACTATTTTCTATTGTGTCCAATCTTCTCTTAAACCCATTCAATAAGCTTTTAATTTCATCAATGCATTTCTTAGCTCTAGACAGTCCACTTGTTTTGTTAGTTCTCTGTTGAAATTAACTTTTCAATTCATCCATCTTTCCTTCTATTTCCTTTAAAACGTCATTGTTAAAGACTTTATTAACTCCAGCATCAAGATCACATGTAGATCTTCTATTGTCTGCTCTTTTTGCTTATCAAGCATTTTCCCGCCTCTTCAATGTTTTATAATTCGTATGATATGTCAGATATTGTATAAAAAAGGAATCTGCAATTGTATATCCAACTGACTGTAATATCAGACATAAAGTACTTTAAAAGCACTGTATCTGTGTTCCTCTGCTATTATTATGTTGTATCTATACATATTTTTCATCCAAAAATTTTGAAGTATTCTGTAATCTTTTGAGTTAAAGAAAATTTCTCAATTAGAATGACTTACCAGGATATAGTCAGGGTGTTTCTCTACTCCCCTACTATGATTTTTTTTTTTTTTTTTCAATCACAACTACCATTCTAAAAAAGGGAAATACCTTTGTAGGTTTCCTCTTGTTCTGGATATATGAATCTGGATCTGTAACTATTCAGGTTACTGAAATAGTCCTATATTTAATTTCTGAATTCCCAGTTCCTAACAAAGTGCCTGGTACATGGTAGGTCCTCAAAAAGTGTTTACTGAATGAGGGAGCAAGTAGTCAACTAATAAAAACCAAACCTGTTGCTCTTGAGTCGATTCTGACTCATAGCGACCCTATAGAACAGAGTAGAACTGCCTCACAGGGTTTCCAAGGCTGTAAATCTTTATGGAAGCAGACTGCCACATCTTTCTCCTGAGGAGTGGCTGGTGGGTTCAAACTGCTGACTTTTCAGTTAATGCCAAGTGCTTAACCACTGCACCATCAGGGCTCCTGGTCAACTAATAAACCAAAAACCAAAACCATTGCCATTGAGTCAATTCCAACTCATAGCAACCCTATGGGACAGAGTAGAGCTGGCCCATAGAGTTTGCAAGGAACACCTGGTGGGTTTGAACTGCCGACCTTTTGGTTAGCAACTAATAGCCAACCCAAACTGCTTAGTCATGTTAACTTATAACACTTGAAATGGTATTCAAAATTACCTATGTATAATGAAAAAAAATTGTTCTATTGTATACTCTGAGATCTCACATACTTAAATCATAAAGAATGATTTCTTACCAGCTCTTCTCAGACTTATATGGTGAGTGAATGATACAGAAGAAGACCTTTGCTTCGGAATTGTCAGTAGATTTGAACTAAATGGTCCATTTAGATAGCATCCTTGACTAAAAGGGAAAGATAACAAATTAAGAATTTTAAACCTATGGAAAATTTTCTCTTTTTTCTTCTTGGTCTTTAATTCAATTAGCAAATAAGTGCTGCTACATTCAGGGTTTATAACTGTTATCTAGTGCCTATGCCCTAAAGCACAGATCCGCAAACTTTTTCTATAAAGGAGCAGGTAGTAAATATTTTTGACTTTGCAGGCCTTAAGGTCTCTGTTGCTACTAGTCAGCTCTGCCACTGTAGCACAAAAGCAGCTACAGACAACAGTAAAATGAATGGGTGTGGTTGTGCTTCAATAAAATTTTGTTTACAAAAACAGGCTGCAGACCAGATTAGGTCCACAGGTTGTAGCTGGGGACTCCCTACCTAAAGCAGATTATCAGTATCACCTGGAGGGCTTCTTAAAACACAGATTTCTGACCCTACTCCCAGTTCTGATTCTGTAGGTCTGGCATAGGGCCAGAGAATTTGCATTTCTAACTACACCTACTCCTCACTTATCAACCATCTCGACTGTATCATTATCTGACATTTCGCATTTATGACAATAGTATAAAATCTACTATCTGACTATTTTGTACATTAATGTATGTCTGGCAGTAATGAATGTTGAGGTGCGAGGCAAGAGTAAGGTGGCTGTAATGGTTAAGGTTATGTGTCAACTTGGCTAGTCCATGGTTCTCAGTGGTGTAATGAAAAATTGTGTACTTTAAGCCAGTGGTTTTCATTCAGGTCTCTGAACCAGCAACATTAGCATCACCTAAGAGCTACACCGACTGCACACTTATTGACATGGTTAGGTTCCAAAGACCAGGTCATTATGCAAAAATCAGTGTTGTACAGAAATGGAGGAAGACACATCAGATCACAAAATGGAGGATGACTACGTCGTTACATAAGTGCCAACTTACATCATTATATAACTGCCAATTGACATCATTACATAACTGTCAAACCACTGAGAATCATGGCCCAGCCAACCTGACACATAACCATTATAGGCAGTGTTACTCTCGCCTCACACCTTGCTTTTAATTACTGCCAGATGCATGTTGTTAATGCACAAAATAGTCGGATAGCAGATTTTTTTACTATTGTCGTAAATGCGAAATGTTGGAAAATGAGATAGTCAATAAATGAGGAGTAGGTGTATTTCCTGTTCCCTCTCCCCACAGATATTAGCTATCCTTTAAGCCAGTCATATCCTACAACTGAAATATTTTAGTATAGGTTTTAGGGCTTTTATGAAGAAATTATATATAGGTAGGCAATTATAGCACACCAATGTGATACACAGAGTTTAATATACCTATCACAAATTAAGGAGCCCTGGTGGTGCAATGGTTAAAGCACTCAACTGCTAACCGAAATGTTGATGGTTCAAATCCACCAGCCACTCCGCAGGAGGCAGATGTGGCAGTCTGCTTCTGAAAAGATTTATAGCCTTGCAAACCCTATGGAGCTGTTCTGCTCTGTCCTATGGGGTCGCTATGAGTGGGAACAGACTTGATGGCAGTGGGTTTTTGGTATTACAAATTAAATGGGATAATATATATAAAAGCTTTTGGCCCAGTGTCATGCATATAGCAAGCACAGCATGAATGTTAGTTACTTTCCTTTCCTTAGATATTCACTGGTGTGTTTTCTTCTGTGAGTCAACTTCTGATCTGGGTACTTTCATACAAGCTCAAGGACAAATTTAGATTCCCTGTCTAGTTTCATTCATGTTTTATTTCTTTAGACTAAGTTCTCAGTGAGCACCTCTCCAACTCTTTCCATCTTTCTTGTACTTCCATACCTCATTTACACAGAGAAGACCATTTTTCTCTGACATAGAGGTTTTTGTTCATGTCTCTATTACATCACTCATCCATATTATATTACAATTTTACTGTTTAACAGGATGTAAAGATACTGCCAACTTTTCTAGGTAAATTAATTTTGTAAGCAACCACTAATCTAGAGGATGGCAGCAGTGTGCTAGGAAATAAGGACACAATAGTAACAGATGAAAAACAAGCTAGAAGAACGAGAAATATAATTTCAGGAACAGACTCAGGAAGTAAAAAGTTCAATATTGGAATCATGTTGAAATCATAGCTAGGGCCAGTTAAATCATAGTCAGGGAAGCTGTGATCAGAATCCAAAGCTGAGTTCAAATCAAGACTCAAGAATCTAAGACATACAATCTCCATTCTCAGATCTTAGCTCTAATAAAGTCAAGGTGAATGCTTCATGATTCCAAAGTCATAAGTCTATTAATTTTGTGATGCTAAAACTTAAAGGTCCTTGCCCTGACAGATATGACTGTACCTGAATAAAACAAAATATCATGATGCATTGAAGACCTAGAGCTACAGTGTCTAATATGATTGCTACTAGTCATATGTAGCTACTTATATTTTAATTTAAATTAATTAAAATTAAATCAAATTTAAAATTCAGTTCCTTATTCATACCAGGCACATCTTCAAGTGATCAACAGCCATAGGTAGCTAGTGTCCACATTGGACACTGTAGATACAAAATATTCCCATCAATTTCTACTGGACAGCACTATTCTAGAGACTTGAATTTGAAAAAGAAAACTGGCTGTAAATACTTCATATATTCCCATATTACCTTGTCTATGTCCAAGGTACACTTAGAAATTTATTACTGAAAAGCTGTAGCTTCTGCACACTAGAAAAATTTAGTCTGGTCTGGTAGATGCATATAATGCCCCAATTACTTTACTCTCTAAATTTCTAAATCTTTTATATGGTAAATGGTTTTGTTTTAATGAGAGTTATGTGAATATATCTGCCAGGGATGATTACAATCTGTCTACATTTACCAATATATGGACACTTCTCAGAGTTAGTGATTAGTTCTTGTCTCTGAACCATGTTTCTATTTTAATATCAATTGTCTAAGGCAACAGGATAAAAATGACCTTAACTCAATGTAGCAAATATTTAACTCAAACACATTACAGTTATATCAATGTGACAGATTAAAAAACAGAATCAGTTTCATCATTCCTTTTTAAACTCAACAATATTCTCATGTTTCCCATGGTTAAGAAATATATTTTAGTTCCTGACACATCCTGCTTCCATTATAAAACAAAACAAAACAAAAAACTATCATGTTTAGGCTCTGAGCAAATTTTGTACCAGTCTTCATTTTCCTGTACTGGATTCTTCATATTTTAGTCCGTTCCTGTTTTACTTTTCATTTCACTCAATTTTGCTTTTATAAGAAAAGTTCATCTATTTGACTGTATTATAGAATATTCAAATTAATAAACCACAAAAGAATCTGGAAAATTATAATTATTTACTCAGATTTCACATGTAGATGTTAATACAAATTTTAACAGGTAAATAGCTATAATCCAATTCTGCCATCTACTGTTTCAAATGTGAAACTATACCGCTGAAACCAAAGTACAACACATGCTCAGCGCATGGTTTGACATGACATTTGCACTAATACCAATTTTATTAACATAGATAACTGACTAAATAGAAATGTATAACCCACACAAGAGATCAATATCTTTCCTGGCTTTCAGAAGACAAATTATTGAATCATTTGTTAGCAAGAATTTACATTTAGAAGATTCTAGCTCGCACACTTCCCAGCCTCATTTAGTTGTAGTTACTGATGCCCTTCATCTATAGGATTAGCACTGTTTCTTCCTAGTTTTAGTCTGGAAGCTCCACTGAAACCTGTCTACCATGGCTGACCCTGCTGGTATTTGAAATACTGATGGCATAGCTTCTAGAATCATAGCAACACACAAGCCAACACAGTAAGATGACAAACTGACAGATAAGTGGTCATCAGGAAAGACCAATCCTAGAAAAGGACATCATGTTTGGTAAAGTATAAGGCCAATGAAAACAACAGAAACCCTCAGTAACGTGGACTGACACAACAGCCACAACAATGGACTCAAACATACCAACAATCATGCAGATGGGGTAGGATCGGGCAAAATTTTGTTCTGTTATACATTAGGTCACCATGACTTGACAGCAGCTAACAATAACAACCCCAACTAAATCCTTAATAGAATACTGAATATTATCAGTCTTAGACCTCCAGTAGGAATAGGATTTGAAATAGTCTTGCTACCTTATACCTACCATCTAAGTTAAACTCTGGGAAGTTGCTCTCCTTTTGCAAGTCAGTAACTCTGTTAATCTACTTTGGATACTGTGTATTTGATTAGTGGCTGCCCCTATAATGGCCATTTCTACCAATTTAAAGGCTTTCCCAATATCCTATCCTAAATTGATCCTAGTTTCCTCAAATCTTCTCACTGGCCACCATACTTTGTACCCAACCTACCTAAGTTTTGGCAGAGGCATGTTAGCTTCTTGTTAACAATCAGTTTCTCTATTACACCATATTATTACTACTCATGCTGTCCTATACCTAAAGTTCTTCAACCATTCCTTTCTGCTTTTAGAGTGATTCTAAACTTTACTCACAGAAACAAAATGGATTTGTTAAATTCAGATTTCTTTAAAGGGCTCTAAGGATTTTACCTGGAAATGCCAAATTCTTGATGAGGTCTTTTGCCATTATTACGTTCCCACCTTGAAGAAGACTGTTCAATGGGTGGCAGACCTGAAGTTCCTGAACTCCTCCTCAGTTGTGGTGTTGGTAAGCTACTCCTACTATTTAGGCCCTGTTGAATAATTTAACGACGGTTAAAATCTTCACCTTTTAATATGCTGTATATGGAATATTAAAGATGGCACATGAAAATATCAGTACAAACTATATTTTTAACATGTCTAGGAGAAATAGAACATTTTATTCTGTAAATCTGTCAATTTTCCTCCAAATTTCACACTCTATACTATTGTTATATTTATGTTCTTTCTACTAAAAAATGATTTCTGAACTCTCTACAATTTAACTAGTTTTTTTTTTTTTTTTTTTTCTTTTGCACATCTTACTCCTAGTTTCACAAGAAAGAAACAAATGACAATTTAAAAAGTGGACACGAAAAACATGCACTGAAAAGCTAGGTCAGAGGAAAAACTTAGGATCAGGGAAGATCAGACCTAATATCCTAAAACTTTTGTATTTTCAGTACAGTGCTATCTAATGTACATAGTAGTAAATCTGAAGAAAATGCAGGGTTTTGAACTACCTTCTGAATTAATGATTAAATTAAATTCAGAACTTCAGCATTAAAATATTTAACCCTATTTTTAAAAACATTATACACTATCCAAATGTTCAGTTAACTGGAATATTCAATTTTTGAATGTTTATTTTATTGAGATTTATAGCTTATTCTGAATGTTTACTTTATTGAGATTTGTAGTTCATTCTATTGAGATAATACAGCTTCTGCTTCCTATTAACTTCCCGTCAGTAGACTCTGAAACAGTCATAGAAAGATAAATATCTGTCTTATATTTAAATTTTTCCAAGGATGTTGATTTTATAAAGGTTCCTGCTTAGTTTGATAGTCAGTGAAAAGTTCTTTATATAACATAATCCTTACTAGCTATAATTCAGGTCCATATAATCTTTCTTAGTTCTTAACATATACATAACATTTACATTACATCATCTATTCCAACTCTCTTTACCTTAGTAATTTTTTTTTTTAATGCTGTTGCTATTTTCTGAAGTAAAAGAAGGCTTTAATATTTTTTTCCAAAAGCAGATACAAACTAGATATGGTATTCAAATAAGGAGTTTAAAGAACACAAAGAAATATGGGTTATTTCCTGATTCTTTTATGACTTACTCCTATCAGTAGATACTAGTACCAAAAATAAGTCTGATTAACTAGAATGCTCAGGAAATGAGGTATTTTGGTTTCCTGTTAAATTTTGTTGTTTAAAATGTTTCTAAAATGTACCAATATACTTTTCTACTTAGTAAACATAATAACAAGCACAATACTGATGTCAATATGATTTTTATGATTAAGAATTACTAGTCTAAACATCAAATGTCAATTGAAAATGCAAAGAAGAGCAATTTGAATGAATACTAACTTAAGAATATATTAAAGAATTATTTTATTCATAAATTTATTGCTATTCCATTTGAAGGCTTGTGATTAACCTTTCTCTTAAGGTGGAGTGGTGAAAAAAATGCCATACAACCAAGTACCATTGTTAATTGGGATTTGACTAATGGAGGTGCTACTTAATAAACCTAAAAAAAAAAAAAAAAGCATCACATAACTACCTATGATTCAAAGTGTGATCAATAATAATTTTCAAATTCTTTTTGCCCTAATTGGGCTTGCTTAATTTTTCAACATTTCTAAACCCTAGGGCTGAGAACTGACAAAATGGAATTAACCAATGATCAAAATCTCTCCAAAATTATATTTTTTCTTAGCTCTATGCAAACCATTACAATTAACAAATTTAACTGATTTCAATTTCACCTCTTTTTGCTAGTTTCCTTAATTGTAGAATACAGCAGTTGAGCTCCAATAATCTCTAAAATGTTTCTAGTATTAAATTTTTTTGATTGAAGCTACTGGTGAAGATACTAATAAATAGTCAAAACAAGTAAAGGCACTCTGAACAAGCGTAATGTATACCTATTTGGAACAGTATTGTTTTGTAAAGGAAATCCCATTTTGAAACATTCATCTTTAAAGAGAAATTAACTGCATATCTAATGACTGAAAAATCAGTGCCAACTAGGATATCTCAATCTCTAATGGGCAAAACCAGGGGTAAAAACAAGTTTCCCAAAAAATGTGAAAGAAAAAATTAAAATAATGCTATGTAAATCATAAAATGAAAATTATAATGACCATTTCTTCTTGGTTCTTAACAAGAACAATTACTGCATTCTAAAGAATAGAATAGATTAATAACATGACTTGACTACTAGTTTGTGCAGGCCTGGAATTAAATTTATTTCTTTACTTCTTTACAACAATAAGAGCAATAATAAATAGTTGTTACCATTCAAGTTATTACTGCTAATTACAGCAACGTTATTTAGAGTAAAACCTGAATGCTCATCTAGAATTACATGAACTTATATCTATCTCTAAAGTCCCAAGAGGTTCAATGTAGTATAAAAGAAGGTGTTCCTTGGAAAAAAATATTCTATTTTATATAAAGGAGCAGTTTTAATTTGAAAATATTAAATGTGATAAACAAGGCTGGCTGATTACTATATTTTGACCTTGTGAAGTTTTCGATCTCCTTTCTCAGCTGGGTCCTCTATTTCAGAGCAGGGGTAAAATCCAGGAAATGGTGTGAGAGGATTAATCTTTGGCCTACAGGAACCTGAGAAAGCACCCATCAAGCTACTGATACTCCGTAGGGAAGAAATGACTCGTGGGGGAAGGGCTGGGTCACACAGAAGGTCTGACACCATATTGCGAGCTTCATATAGCACTGAAAGATCAACTCCATTTCCACCTCCAGAATTCTAGAAAAGAAAAAAGGTAAAATCATATATTTGTTACACGAAAAACATAACATTTAAGAATAACTTACTTTACTTTAAATCAAGGCCTCCTATCTAATAATATCTAGGTAATTTAATCCTATAAAATATAAATTTTCATTTATTTGGACATGGCATAAATGATATAACAAATGGTATAATTCTAACTTTAAATTTTTTGATAGTGAGAATGATACTGTGAACGATAATTTTTTTCATTAGTTTATCTCATTATATTTAATGATACTCATTACTGATTTACAGTTTCTAACTAGTATAGAACCGAATCTGTACTCACTTTAAAACCATAATTTGGACTTTCCACTCATTTGTTAAGGATTTTCTTTCCTTTACGCCAAAATATCTTTTAAACATACACAGCATTTCTTTCATTTATCCTACTCACTCAAGAGGCAGTCTAGCATAGTGACAAAGCTTTGTTGCAAAGACACAGCAGTCTGAAATCTAGATTTTAACCCTAACTGTGTGACCATTAGCATGTTATTTAACATCTGAAATTTTAAAAAGTTTTTTCATATAAAATGGGGATAATAGCATCTATCTCATTATGGGCTGATGTGAAAATTAAATCTGATTAAGCAGGTAGGGCACTAAAACAATGTACAGCACATATACTTAAAGTACAATAAATAGTACTATCACAATTAATATTATAGAAAGTGATGAGATAAAGATACAAATAAAATGGTATCAGAATTCAAGAGACAAAAGTAACTTTGAGCTGGACGTTTAACAAAGCATCATGGAAAGGGTAGCATTGGCTGGGCCCTAAACAATTGCTAGGAAAGTACTTTCTAGAAAAAGTACTTTTTAGAAAGTACAATTTAGAAAAAAACATTGATGTATACATATGATATGATTTTTTATTTTTTGAAAATACATATACGTGATGTTCAACTCAATCACCTATAGAAATAAGTATACTGATAATCAGACCAGTGAACTGCATGTGTCACTCTTGTTTGTTTTATTGTACCTGAGCTTATATTGCCAAATGGGCATGTTTGGAATTCACACGTATTCAGATTATTTAATGAGTTTACTATGAAACTGCTTATTAAGTATCTCCCACACATTTTGGAACTGAGAAATGTTATGTAACTTTATTTAGGTCACAGTAGCTAAAGAATGTCCTTATTTCTTTGTGGAATTTTTTTTTTCTTGTGCAGTGTTATTTTGTGTTAGTTTTTGTTTTAGAACCTTCCCCACTACTGGGGCACATTCCAGCTATTTCTAGTCTTTATCAACTATAAATAACATTAAAACCAACAGCTCTCTATATGTGTCACTATAGACGATTAAGCATACCTCTGACAGATAGCTTCCCATAATTTGAATTGCTGAACCAAAGCAAATACATACACACAAAAATTAAACAACATAATTTACAACATTAATAGAATAATGGGAAAAAAGGGGTCATATCAATAGATGTAGAAAAAGCATCTGATAAAATTCTACTCCCAAAGCAAATGGTTTGCTTTTTCTCATAAGCAGCCTTCAATCTATTTTTCCCCTTCTGTGGATCACTGGTCCACAATCAGAACAAAAATATTCTCACTCTTAATACAGAATATTAATTTATTCTGAGCCCACATTATATTAATAACATTTGCAAATAACTATATAAGTCTCATTTATTATCATTTTCTTTTAATATTATATTTAAAATGTATTTTTTTTAAATCTACTTAAATAAAGGTTCTGGTTATTTTAACAAGTTAAAAGAAAATCTTATGGCACAGAAATCTTGTAAATATAACTTTAATTTAAATGTCAAAAGTTTCTTTACAGATATCACTCATATTTACCTGATAATGAGGTTTATACCACTGTTTTAAATCCCAATCCCAAAGAATCATCTGAAAGAAAAAAAATCACTTAGTTACTAACTGGAAATAAACAAATACCTTTAAAGACAAAATACAGCATATTCAATCACAGATACCTAAAATAAAATTTGGAAGAGGAATTGTGCAGGTAAGAATGAAAATTATCCCTAGACATACTTCATTAATTATACAACCTGTAATTGAAAAATCAAAAGAATAAAGAATCATCAGAAGAAAGTCACTAAAATATGCCATATTAGCCTTCAAAATATCTAGTACCACAAAAAAGGTAAATGTAAATCCAAAAATCACATTCAGTCACTAAAAATACAAGAAAAATTATATATCATCAGACACCGTTCCCCTTCCCATCCCCTCCAAAGGCTTATCACTTACTAAAGGGTGGTGTCATTTCCTTACCAATAAAGCCCTTATACTTGCAGTTAAAGAAATGGATTTATAAAAGCAAGCCACCCACCCTTTTGATATGCAGATATTTCATGACTGTTTTCATGTTTATTTCCTTTATAGGCAACATATGATAACTTCTTAGTCCTAGACTAGTTTTTTCCTGCCCTTCTTCCTAGCAGAATTTTCAGCTGCTTCCCCATCTACTAGTCGCTATACTCAAGATAAGATCAGCTTTAATTCGGCAAGCTATAACTACCACCTATGATTAATTCTAAACTTCTTTAAAGTTTACTAAATTAATAAGCAGATCTCCTCTTCTGCTTAAAAAATTGATTATGATTTCTACCTTCTATATAGCTTTGATCCCTTGAATATAAACCTAGTTAATTTGTAATATAATCACATTATTTCTATACATTGAACCATTTACGTTGTTTCTTGTCCTTGGGCTTATGTCTCCTGGTTGCAAAAGATCTAAAAGTGTTATCTAGTCTATCGCTGGTCCAATGTTTCACTGTTCTTGTTGTTGTTGTGTGCCGTCAAGTCGATTCTGAGCTATAGCAACCCTATAGAGCAGAGTAGAACTGCCCCATAGGGTTTCCAAGGAGCAGCTGGTGGATTCGAACTGCTGACCTTTTGGTTAGCACCTGTAGCTCTTAACCACTTGACTGAAATGTTTTATTAGGAGTCAGCAAACTTTTTCTGTAAAGGGACTGACAGTAAATGTTTTAGGCTTTGTGAGTCACGTAAGGTCTCTGTGGCATATGGCATATTTAATTTGTTTTTGTTTTAGATAGATAGAACCAAAATCAAAAACCAAACCACTGCTGTCGAGTGGATTTCGACTCACAGTGACCCTACAGGACAGAGTAGAACTACCCTGTAGGGTTTCCAAGGCTGTAAATCTTCACAGAAGTAGACTGCCACATCTTTTGGGGACTCTTTCAGAGCCACTGGTGGTTTTGAACCTTTGACATTTTGGTTAGCAGCCAAGCACTTTAACTACTGTGCCACCAGGTCTCCTTCAGATGATGATAGATAGATAGGAAGGTAGATAGATAATGTTGTCGGGTGCCATCAAGTCAATTCCAACTCCTAGCGACCCCATGTGACAGAGTAGAAATGGCTTTTCTTGGCTGTAATCCTTACAGAAGCAGATCATCAGGTCTTTCTTCCACGGAGCTGCTGGGTAGGTTTGAACCACCAATCTTTCAGTTAGCAGCCAGCCCTTAACCGTTTATATATGTATATAAACTCATTGCCATCAAGTCAGTTCCAACTCATGGCAATTTCATGTGCTTCAGAATAGAACTGCATTCCATTGGGTCGGTCTTCAATGGCTGATTTTTTTGGAAGTAGATCACCAAGCCTTTCTTCCGAGTTACCTCTGGGTAGATTCAAACCTCCTTTCAGTTAGCAGCCTAGTGTGTTAACCACTTTTACCATCCAGGCACTCTCACATTAAGATTATCATAACCTAAAATCCCTAAGTTTCTTTTATACTTGGTATGTTTATGCTCCATTTTCTCCATGCTATTCCTGCACAATTGCTTTTTAGACACAACTGCAGTACTTTGCTTCTGTCCTGATTTTAGTTTTTTTGGAGATTGAGTATGTCAGCTAGCCTATTAATAATTCCTCCCATCATCATAACATCTGTAAGTCTGATATTTTGCTAAGTTCACTAATAAAAGTCTAAAATAGACAGCAGTGAAGACAGAATCATATGATGTGTCATTAAAACTTATCTATTAGATGTGTATCAATTCATTCATTTGCATTCTGAATTTATAAGCTTGCCTAACTGTGTTGTTGTTGTCGCTGAGTCTGTTCTGACTCATGGTGACCCTGCTATCCAGTTCATACTTCAACATTTCTTCCACACCATCAAGCTGTGATAAACGCATATACCTCATTTCCCTGAATAATTAGTCTAAGTAGAAGCTGATTTTCTGCTAACTCAAGCACACTTTCATTAGGACAGTTTTTTTTTAACATTGAGTCAATCTTCCTTTCCCCTCACTTCATTCAGCTATATGACTAAATAAACATTACATTTTTAAATATTTGCCTCTAATGCCAAGAGCCATATTTGTATCTATACACGCATTCTCAATGGAGGCCATATTGCCTCCAAGAAGGTGAAAATTGTTTCTTGAGGGCAAACAAAAAAATTAAATATTAAAAGGTTTGTGGCCCTACAAAGGGCTACAGTACATAAACAGATATACAGTATATCTAGGGTATTAATATTTCATGGGAATAGAGGGACAATTAGAGGGAAAAAAGTCTATAAAGGCTCCTTAAACCAAACCAAACCCGTTATCGTGGAGTCGGTACTGACTCATAGCAACCCTATAGGACAGAGTAGAACTGCCCCATAGGGTTTCCAAGGAGAGGCTGGTGGATTTGAACTACCGACCTTTTGGTTAACAGCCAAGCTCTTAAGCACTTTGCCACCAGGACTCCATAAAGGCTCCTTAGGGGAGTGATAATGAAAAATAGGTTGAGAAACACTGATACAAAGTAGTCCTGCCGCTTGCTTATAAGAGCAACCTCATCTTAGCTTACATTCTTAGAAAACCTAGTACATTGAGCCCAGTCCAAGGCTGCCTACTCAGAAGCTGCTGCTAACGCACACTTATTTTAATTGTACTATTAAAGGTCTCTAAAAACCTTACTATGTACAATGGTTTTTCTCCATGAATACTGCTTTTAGATCTATTATAGTATTTTTTACTACAGAGTATTTTCCTTATTAAATTCATTCCTCCCTGGCCTTTCATCCCATTACCATGGTTTTCTCTTGCTTATACTTGCTATATTAGCCTTGAATCGACTCTTAAGCAATAGCTTATTCTTATTTGCAGTCACTTTCTCTAGGATCAATAAAAAGAATTTAATAAAAAGCAGCAGGTCTCATTCTGGAATCCTTGCATATTAGGAACTGAAAACAAATACAATGAAAGCTACAGAGAGCTGGCCAACTTTGGCATTCTATGTAATTTGAATAACTAGAGTATTAATGATTTTGAGAAAATAAATTTTCTCAATAAGCAGTAGAAGATACGTGACCCAGGAATTCCACAACTAGGTATATATCTTAGAGCACTGTTATTCAAAGTGTGGTCCACAACAAGATAAATACAAAAATTAAGAATAAAAGTTTAGAAACTTTATAGCAATCTGACATTGTTGGGACATTTTTAGTGTACTTTACAAAAGCATCAATCCATAATGGATCATGGAAAAAACAACAAAAGTATGATCCTTTGCTACAGATAGTTTGACACCAGGAGACATGAACAAGAATACACATAGCTGCACAGATTGGGGTAGCAAAAAATTAGATGCAATTCAAATGTCCATCGAAAGTAAAATGGAGAAAATCTGGTATATTTATACAATGAAATATAGCATGAAAATGAAGAACAGCTATATACTATACAGATGAATCCCAGAAACATAATGTTGAATAAGAAAAGCAAATCAAAGAAGAATACATATAGTATAATTTCATTCATGTAAAATAAAATACATATTAAAAATATACTTCTTAATAACTATAAAGAAATTCAGGGAGCCCTGATGGTGCAGTGGCTAAGTGCTCAGCTGCTAACCAAATGGTCAGCAGTTCAAACCCACCAGCTACTCCACGAGAGAAAGATGTGACGGTCTGCTTCCGTAAAGACTGCTGCCTTCGAAACCCTATGGGGCAGTTCTACTCAGTCCTGTTGGGTCGCTATGAGTTGGAATCAACTTGATGGCAGTGGTTTTTTGTTTTTTGTTTTTTGTGTGTGTGTGTGTAATATATTTCAGGATGCTGATTATCTCTGAGGGAGAAGAGAAGGAAACTGGATCTAGCAAGGGCATCATACAGGGGACTTAATAGTATTGTTCAGAGTTAAATGTCTGAAGGTCTACATGGCTGGGTAGATGTGTTTGTTATCTTTAGTCTCTATACTTTACACATGTTTTATGAGTACACATAGTCCCGAGTTATGACGGGGTTCCGTTCTGGTGACTCCCCTGTAAGTCAGTTCTGACATAAGTCGAATTCTCTATTTTTTTTTTTAGAGTTTTCATAAACCCAATCTTTGTACATCCGTGAATGAACATCTGACAATGATAACAGCAGCAAATTACACACTGCAACATTATATGTAGTACATATTACTAACGATAAGATGTACAAAAAAACAAAAAAAACCCAGGTGGGTCAAAAGTGTAGTTCGTCGTAACTTGAATATGTCAGAAGTTGGGGACTACCTGTATTTGTTCAGTTAAAAAAAAAATTAAGAATTTAGGAAGGTAAGCAAGTAGACAGTGACTATGGAAAACTTTTGAGAAGCTGTGCAGTACAAGGGAAGAATAAAATGGAACAATCATTGAAAAAGAACGTAAATAGATTGTTTTTAACTTGGTAGTTCTACAGCATATTTGTATTTGATAGAAATGATCCAGGAAAAGAGAAATAATGACACAGAATGGCGTTTGCTATCTCCAAAGAAGCAAAATCCTTAATGAAAATATTGCTGTCTCTATACTATTAGCACATAGATAAAAATTTAAACTAGGAAACAGTAATAGAATATTAGCCATTATTTATCAGATTATGA